GAGGCAGGAGGGTTACAAGTTTGAGCCCAGCATGGGCAACTAAATGACAGCAAGACCTTGTCTCAAAATTAAAAATTAAAAATAGGCTCAGAATAAGGGTCCTGGGTTCCATCCCCAGTACTACACACGCGCGCGCGCACACACACACACGTCCCACAATCCTGGGGAGATTCATGTAATAAAGAAACAAAAATTGGGGCCTCTTTTTCCTCTCTTCAAATTGACAATTATTTAGGGACTAAATCATTACAATTATACAGCATTATAATTATAACAATCATTATAACTCACTTAAATTCATTATTATTCATTACAATCCATTCATGGTTATTACAGTTATAGTGATCTTCCACATATAATTGCCAATCCCACAGAGCTGGCAGAGCCTGGGAGAATAAGTCAGCAAACTCTTCTTTTTTTAAGGCGATGTGTGTCAAAAGCCCGAAGAGATGCACACTTGCTTTGATCCAGCAATTTACTCCCATATTTTATGCCGAGAAAATAAGCATCAATGTACATAAAAAAGCAAGACGCACACTGAGCAGAACAGAGAAGAAAATTAACAGCAACTTGAGCAAAAAAGCAAATTGGAGATAATATTAATATCATAAATTTCAAAACCAAACAAAACACATGATACATATAAAGAAAAGGGAATTGTAAACACAAAATATGAAATACGAAATAACCAAGGTGGGCGCAAGGAAGGAGAGGCCACGAAGACCTGTCTGTCTCTCTTTTCTTTCGTTTTTCCTTTGTGGTATTGGGTCTTTGCACTCACATACATCCCCAGCCCTTTATTACGTTTTTATTTTGAAACGATCTCATTAAGTCACTGCCACTGTGGGCGTCACGATAAAGCCTGATTTTATTCTGAGCCACAACCTCGGGGATCCTGAGAGTCGGCAGGATCTCTCCACTCCACAGAGGCATCGGGGACCCGGCTCTGTCACCTCCTTGAGCCTGTGACATTCAAGCGACCTCTCTGCCCCAGGTGCTGGGCAGGGCCGGCTAGGACTGCCTGGCCCAGCAGAGGGGTGAATCTGCAACTATGTCTTGGGCAGAAGCCACACACATCACTTTGATGCATAAAAAATTTATTATTTCAAAGTAGACAACAGACTTGAGCACAAAAGTCTGCTGGGAGTGGCTATGAGGAGGTTACGGCTGGCTGTACCCTGGGGACTGAGGCAGGAGGAGTTATCTGGGAGCCCAGTTTAGATAAATTAGTGCTCTAGCAGACCCTGTTCCAAAACAAAAAATGATAAAGGACTGGAGATGGAGCCAGTGGGAAGGCCTGGGCCCAATCTGCTGTACTGAAGAGAAAGGGAGAGGAAGATTACTTAATCGTTACTGGGGAAGAGGCAGGAGAAGGTTCCAGTGCCACAGACGTGCTGGAGCACAAGGGGCCCTGTACGCCCCCATCTCGGTCAGGGAGTTGAGAGCAAGAGGGTAAAGTGCTTTATCTCACGGCCAGGGATGAAAGAAAAAGGAAAGCCAAGGGCCTGGACTCCAGCACCCCCTTCAAGGCCAGGCCGCAGTGACCTGAAGGCTCCAACCCGCCCTGAGGCACCATGCTGGAGCCCAAGCCTTTGATACCTGGGCCACCGGGGAGCAGAGGTGCAGGGACTGTAGGGGCCGCAGGAGCTCTAGGCCATGCGTGATTTAACAGAGTTTAGGAAGTGTTTAAGCCACTTCTTCAAGCTAGGAAAGGTGCCAAATAGCTCACCTGCAAACGCTCTGTGGGAGTCTTAGGGGCATAACAGCCTCGGAGTGGCCTTTTCCCACAGCTGCTGGAGCTCAGCAGGGAGGCACCTGGGCACTGCTGTGCCCACCCCTTCTGCCCTCTGACCTCCTGTCTCTGGGCCCGGCAGTTTGCCTGGGGAGCAGCTCTTTCCCCACAGCCTCCTCCAGTGCCCAGTCTGGCTTTGGTCAACCTACCTGCCTTCTTCTCTTTCTGAAGTTACTCAGCATTTCTGTACTTTCACCTTGACAGCTGTTACGAACTTCTTTCTAAGTGCAGTGAGATTTGGGAAGGACAGAAAAAAGCGAGTTCTGGGTTTGCCACCTCAAGTCATGACCATGGGCTTGTAAATGACCCTGGACCCACTTTACCGGGGAAAGTGACCGGGTGGAGAAGGCACACCAAAAACTCGGGGTGCTTTCTGCTTGCTCCATTGATACCCAGAGAGGAGCACCCGAGGAGGAGAGTGCTGACCAGCCTGGCCTCAAGACCCAGACTGTGTAAGCAACCAGAGGCAACACCCTCGGTGGGAAACAAACCGAGTGTTAGTTTTTCCAGAATTCAAAGTTTGAAGAGTAAAACACCTTTAAGCAAAAGGGCCCAAAGAAAGGGTGTTGTGGGGTCCCTGGGGCCTCCTGCCCCCTCCGCATCGCCAGGTGTAGTGTGGGCTGCTGAGGAAGCAAGAGGTACAGGAGAGGCCCAGGAGTCTGAGGGTTGGACTCCACCCACCCTGCTGGGGTGCAGGGCTTTAGGGATCCCTGAGGCAGGCAACAGCCCTGGGCTCTGCCGGACACCACCTCAGGGGCAGGTAAGTAACTCGATCTGAACTGTGAGCTGGTGGTGGGCCGAGCACAGGCACTCAGCAAAGCACCTAGCACAGAGTCCCCGGCACAGCACCCAGCAAAGCCCCAGCCAGGGTGGAGCAGCCCTGGGCCCAGGGCTGGGAATGTCACCGTGTTAGGAAGATCGGTGTGGCAGAAAGGGAGGGTGGAACTCAGTGCGAGGATACACTGTGTTTTGAGCTCAAATGTGGGCCATGTCCTTACCTAAGGGCAGAGCGGCTCTCGCAGCATGTGGAGGGCCCGAGAGCACACACTTCTGGCTTACACGCTGCTAGCTAGAAGTGAGAGTGACTGCAGACTCTGGCTGTGGTTTTATGCGTGTTCACTGTAAACTTATTTCAGCTTCCCTATGTTTTAAGTTATTCCTGGCAAAATGTCTCTGAGTAGGAAAATACCATTCTAATTTGTGGTCACACATCTGGAGGAGCCCCTAAACCACCGTCAGGAGTCCTCAGCTCCACTCACTGCCAGGGTGGACGTGTTTAGAAACTGCACTTTTAGTTCACTTTCAAACTTTATGAGAGTGGGTCTCCCTGTGTCACTCCAACTGGCTCTGAACGCCTACGCTCAAGTGATTCTCCTGTCTCAGCCTTCCCAGCAGCTGGGGACTACAGGTGTGTGCCACTGATGGAGACCACTATGAAGCGGCTCGGACCAGGATTTAATGTTGACCCACTGGCTTTTCGTGTTTACATGAGTCTGCCCGAGGCCTAGGCCCTTGTCTGGAGACGGGCAGCAGACTCACAGTACCTGAACCTCTGTGAGTCCCTGGTCCCCGCTGAGGCCTGTATCGGCCTGTGAAGTCGGGACACCTCGAAGGACAAAGGCCACAGCTGAGAACGTCTGGCTCCAACCCGTTATCTAAAAGGAGACTGTAGCTGCAGGCATCTCACTCCTGCGGCAAAGGCCTTCCTGGGGAAAACACAGTTCTCCTAAATTAGCACAATGTATCACCTGGAAAAGTCCTTAGAGGGATTCCCAAGTCCTTCCCAGATTCCTGCGTTTTCTTCAGTACCCTCCTCCTTTGCTTGAAAACCAAATACATATGGGCCACCCAGGGAAGTCTTTGTCTTAACCCAGAGAATCTTGAATTCTGTGAGGGGTTGGACCCTCCTGGAACCCTAAAAGCCTTTCAACTGTTTCATTTATTTAAGCCTTCACTGTGCACTTGCTTGGGAGATTACAGGTCTGATCAGCCTGCAATAACTAAGGGCTTTTATTTACCCAATATGCCACTATGCCTGGTTGCTTTCTGTACAGTCTTAAGGCTACTGTACCGATCTGCTCCTGCACTTGTTAGCTTTGTCATGAGATCAATCATCTCAAATCTCCTTTTAAAGAGGAACAGACCAGCATGATATACAAAGAAAAGTGAAACCCCTTACAGTGTGAAGCATCCAGTGGAAACGTCTGCTGCATGAGCTTCTGGTAAACACACATGGAAGAGGCGGCCCCGGAGTGCAGGGTACACTCGAAGGTGGCTGGCTTGGCCTTCTTCCTGCCCTTGGGGACAGCTGTCACCGTGCGGGTGGGGAGAAGGGTGCGCGTCCCTCTGCGGAGGACTTCAGGGTCCATAATCCAGCCCGGGAAGGGCAGGCCTCCCTCACCACCAACAGGGAAGGGTGACCTCCAGGTGACACAAGGAAGGCCCCAGCTCAGGGCCACTGAAGGCTCTGAAGGACGCGCTAGGTCTGGAGACAAGAATAAAAGTCTTCTTCGCAAATGTGACTGTGGTCAAGTTACTCACCTAAGACACAAGTCAACCGTAGCAACTGTGGCCTTCAGTGGTGTTGGTGAGAACGGCGTCTGATCATGTAGCAGCTGGTTTTCCGAGATGTGTCTTGCTGTGTTGCCCAGGCTGGCCCTGAACACCTGGGCTCAAGTAGTTCTCTTGCCTCAGCCTCCCTAATAGTTGGAACTATCAATGCCTACAGCCTGGCCCAGCTCCAGAGCAGGATTTTTTAAATTTAATTTTATTTTTTTGGTCTTTGTGAGACAGGGTCTCACTACGCAGTTCAGGCTGGCTTTGAGCTCACTTTGTAGACCAGGCTGGTCTCGAACTCACAAGGATCCTCCTACCTCAGCCTCCAGAGTGCTGGGAATACAGGAGTGCGCCACCATGCCCAGCCTGAGTGGGATTTTTAAGCAAAGGCCACTTGCTTAAGGAGAACAGACCCACACTCCACTTAACCGAAGCCTGTCCGTCTCCCAGCTTCTTTCAGACAGTTTTGTTTGGGCCTTGACTCTGAAACCACACTGGGGCATCCTCAGTGTTTTCTACTGGGCAACTCTGCCTGGCCTGGGCGTGGCCCCCGGCCCCTGCCGAGCCCAGGACCTGCACACCTTCCCTGCCAGGCTGTGCACCCCACAGCTGCACTCTGCCCCGTTTGCTCCCCAGCAGAACAGTCCAAACACGTGACCAAACGCGTATTTATTCCACATACATAGGAAACAGGACTCTATCAAAAGAACAAAAACGGCGACAGGACCCAAGCGCGACCGAGGAAGAGCATGCACAGACCCGCCCGAGCTCTCTTACCCGCAGGCCCTGCAGGGTGGTACACACAGTGGAGGAGACGCCAGGCACAGGACTGGGCCGGCTGCACGGGGATGCCGCTTCTCACATGGAGTATAAAACATTGAGTCCCTGGGGTTCAGTCTCTTAAGATCATTTGCTATCAAAAAGATGAACAAAATTCAGTACGGACTTCGGCGCTTGATGCAGCTGTGCCTGGTCCACACCCAGGGAGCTCTCACTGTGCTTCTTTATTTAAAAAAGTAAAGAGAGAAACTGACATTAAAAATGCAAAGTAAATGCCCTGGAGGGAAGGAGCTGATGGAACTCTGGGGTTGTAAACACCGGACGTTGTGCTTTGCGGTCTCATCGGTCTCACTGGGTCGAGGACAGGCAGCGGACAGAGGTCAGGTCAACACGGAGCTCAGGCCAGGTGGCAGCATCTGACTGTTCCCTGGGGCGCCCCGCAGTTCCTGCCCTCGAAGTCCAGGTCCTACCCCTGGCAGGAAAAGGACGGTGGGCCTCTTGGCCTGACAGTATGGCGAGCCCTCCAGGTCCACAGGAGCGGGAGTTTCTCTAGAGGCTTCCAGAAGCCACCCCATCCTGCACCCGCAACACTGCACACAGCAGTCCGTGAAGGTGTCTGGGCCGCACTGCTCACTCCACACGGTGCGGTCCGGCTCAGTCTGCGCCGCGCTCACACTCACAGGACTGACTATGCTGGGGACGAGCCCCTCTCCTGTCAACAGCGCCCAAGACCACTGAGGGTCCTGGGGTGAGGGGCGCCTCCACGGGGTCTGCGTCCCTTACATTGTCCTGGTAATTTTAATGACATGGCCAGAGCCACCACGTCTGTTCCCATCCCCTTGTCTTCTCAGCAACCCCCCGCATCCCCTGCGGCCCTCCACAGTCCCCAGGGCCGTGGGCTCCCACACTGGCTGTGCCTTTGGCCCTTCCCCATGTCCATCCAATCCCCCACCGGCACAGCCCCGGGACAGGGTGTGGGGAACCACTGGGCTGTGACCTCAGGGGCACAAGACGGGGCACAGAGTGGGGACGTGCTTCCCCAAGTCCGACCGAGAGCCCTGGGCGCTGTCCAGGCCTGGGGGAGGTGACCTCCTGGGACTCAAAGGGCTTCCTCAGGTAACAGGAGCTACAGAAGCTGGCTTGGCCCACCCACCCTCTTTTGCTGTGGGAGCTGTGTGTGCTGGGTCCCATCCAGGCAGAGGGGCCTGGCTGCAGGATGTAGGTGCGGACAGAAGAGTGTTGAGGGGCCGTCCCCCAGCATGACAGCTGACCCTGGCTGCTGCAGCCTCGCTTTGCCTCTCCTCCTCTCTCTCTCACTGTCAGCCTTGGGGACAGTCACCATGCTGCTGGAGAGCACACACCACGTCGAAATGGAAGCAACAGAGGACACACAGTGTGGGTTCAGACCTCGTCCTCCACAGGAACACGAGAGGGAGCTGTGCTTGCTCTGAGAGGAGTGGAGCCGCCCCTGGCTGCCCTGGCCGCAGAGTGGCCTACTTGTCCTTGACCACCTGCTCGTAGGGGGGCGGCGGGGTGCTGCAGTAGGAAGGAGGGGGTGGGTAGGCCACGCAGCCCTGGGGAGAACTGGGCTGCACCTGAAAAGCCACCGCCATGTTCCCAACGGGATTCACGCCTGGTCCTCCAGGGTCAGTGTAGTATGGCGGCCCCAGCTGCTGGGCTCCTGGAAGACAAGAGGACAATGTGTGAGCACAAGCAGGCACACCCACAGCACCCCAGGTTTCATCAGGTCACCTACTTAGTGAACATGCATCGAGCACCTAACTCCCAGCACTCTGGGAGGCTGAGGCAGGAGGATCACAAGTTCTAGCCCAGCCTGGGCAACTTTATAGAGAGTCTACAGGGCCAGGGACGTAACTCAGTGTGAAGGCCCTGGGATCAATCACCAGGACTGCAAAAGAAAAAAGAAAGAAAAGGGGACCTCATGTGTCCAGACAGCTGGGAGGGACCAGTACATAGGCCCAGCAAGAGCAACAACGGGCTCCATCCTCACAGGCCTCGGTTCCACCGAGGGGACGGATCACAAGGAGATGGTGGAGGTGGCGTTGGGTAGAGGCAGTGGCAGCGCTGATCTGAGACTGGGGCACTAAAGACAAGGTGTCTGCGCAGGGAGCCGCAGCAGCAGGTGCTGGAAGGTCATAGCTGGAGGCCACTGGCAGAGGTCAGCAGCTGTGGCCCGGACAGTCACATGCCACCTGCAGTGGGCAGAGCTGGGAGGACAAGCTGGCACCTACCCCAGATGCAGTCACCGGCCAGCCCCACACCCCGGAGCACAAAGCACAGGGCATCTGTGTTGCTAACCTGGGTTCAGCACCTCGCTGGGCTGGTGAGCACCAAGGTGCCAGCCAGGGAGGCCCTACCCTGCCATGTGCTGGGTCCAGGAGGCTGCCAGAGTGCCTCTTCTACAGGTGGAAACCCGGGCACAGGGTCCTGGGGTGACAGTGAAGGCGACAGGAAATGTAGGCTGAGTACGCTGCCCCACAAGGCTCTCAGGCTCCTGTTTCCCAGCCTGCTCCGCAGGGCTGGAGTTTTGGTCATGTGGCCACATTGTCGTTGGAACCAGAGCTCTGCGGCCACCTTGGCCGGGCTGCTTCTGCAGCAGACTCAGGTCTGGGTGAGGCTCCTGTGCACCAGAGACGCTGCCCTGGGCCAGTTGGGGGCGTATTTTGCTCGGCAAATCTCCCTGATTCTTTAGCTGAATAATGATCTCATTCTCAGCGTGCAAGGTGTCCTGTAGCTATAAAGCGCACCTGTGTCAGACCCTGGGAACCTACAGTGTGTCAGAGGGAAGGCTCCCCACAGCCCAGGATGTCCCAGTCCACCCCACCCCTCACCTGTGTGAACCACAGATGGCGCTGCTGCTGCTCTGTGCATCTGTGGCCCTGTGTGCCACCAGCCAGGACCACAAAATTTCTCAGAGACTGAGACTGAGGCTTATTTATATCTGGATCCCTACTGTCTCATACAAGTAAAAAGTTAAGGATTTTTAAAGAGGCCACTGAAACAGTACAGGCAGGAGAAGATGAATGTCTCTGAACATCAGTGAAGACATGGAGAGGAGTAGGTTAGCAAGGAGATGTAACCAAGGGCGGAGCCAGGCTAGCTGGGTGTGGGCGCACAAGCGTGGAGCAGGACCCAGAAAGAAGAGGCCTGGTCTCTGCTCTCCAGGGAGGTGCCCAGTACAGGAGATGGGCAGGGAGATGAAAAGTTCCAGATCCGCCCTGGATGCATGAGGCCCAGGCAGCACGGGACCCCAAGACACAAGTGTGGATAATGTCACTGAGGAGCTGTGCAGAGGGCCTGGGGCAAGAGCTCCAGAGCAACCCACACTCAAGGCAGGAGAATGAAAACGTTTAAGGCGGTGAGGAGGATGCTACAGTGGCTAGGAAGGGTGAAAAGCGAGAGCAAGGGTGTGCGTCCTACTGTCGGGGCCAGGGAAAAACTAAAGGGAGGAGGCCGGGCGCTCTGCAAGGGCAGGCAGTGGTCAGAGGAGCGCGACAGACTTGCACTGTGGTGTCTGGGGCTCTGTGCTCCTCGCCCAGTGGTTTCAGGGCAGCGCCAGCCACAGCCCCCTAAGGCAGCAGGAAAGAAGCAGCTCAGGAGTAGATAAGGGGGCAGGTGGTGACCAACGGATGCAGAGCCAGGGAGCACATTTATGGGTGCGGACAGACACATGGGAAAGGATCTGGCTGAGAACAGGAGTTCAAGAGAGCAGTGCTGGGTTCAGCATTTGGATGCCAGCATCTGGGCCAGAACCTGTGCCCAGCAAGGCCCCGAGTGTATTTGACTGGGCAGCGAGAGTCTACACAGGGGAGTCTGGTGTGGAGGGGAGGAACAGGGCTTGAGCAGATGGTCCCCTCGGAGTGGAAGTGGGCACTCAGTTTCTCACTGCCGGCAGCAACCCAGCAAAGGGTAAACGCAGGACCTGAGCAGCGAGACGCAAGGCCTTGAAGAAGAAGGGGGGAACGCAGTGGTCAAGAGCGCCACAGAAAGGACCGAGAAGTAGACGACAGGCAGTAAGGAGGGGCACTCTGCCCGGGGCACACAGGAGCCAGGGGACACTGCCACCTTCCCTACAGGGTGCGGTGGGGAGGGGAGCTTGCGCTCTTCAGATGTGGGGGCAGGAAGTACACAAAGCGCTGTTCCAGGAAGCCAGAGGTAGGGACTCCCGTCCCCTGGGGGGACAGGATGGGGGCGTGGAGGACCAGGTGCCACCCGTTCTGAGTCAGTGTTTCAGAAGACAACGTGGATAGGAAACCAGGCGTCTCCCAACAGAACAGCAAAGTGGGGGAGTCCAGGAAGAAAGGAGGGAGGGCCAAGAAAGACACACCTCATGTGAGCACCCTCAGGGACAGTTGTGACCAGACTTCCCTTCCGAGCTGCAGGTGTCCCTGGCTGCCCTGTGTCTCCAGGTGAGGCGGAGCCCTTCGGTCCCCTCACCCCATGGTCCATGTCCTCATCTGCGGTCTTTGCAGGATTTGGGGGCCTCCAGGGTCCGTGGAGATGGATGAGAATGTGTTAAGACTTTCTCCGACAATGCCATTCTGGGTGGCACCTTCAGCGCCTGGCAGCCCTGCATCCTAGCTGGGCACGAGCCCCTGCTTCAGCCACGCTGGCTGAATGGCTACAGGGGACAGAGGCCGCCCAGGTGCTCTTGGATGCAGAGGGGTCCAGGGCAGGAGAAGACAGGAGGAGCAGAGAGAGACGGCAGCAGCAGGCTGGGAGAGACACGGTCACTACCCCAGGGAGGCGCCTCCAGAGACGGCTCCCAGCCTCCTGACGGCAGCTCCCTGAGCTCACGTGGCCGTACTCCCTGCTCCCTGCTGCAGCCCTGAGTGGTGGACTGCGCCTCCTCCTGTCTGCCCCACTCGCAGGGTGACGCCAGCCCACCGCGTCACGCACAGGCTGGAAGCCCGACGTGCCCACAGCCAGGCTCCTGACCCTCAGTGTCCATCCCATACTGCCATCTGTCTCTCACAGACACCAGGCTGCACCAGCCTCTCACCTGGCTATGCCCACTCTCCTTGAGATCAGAGTCACCAGCCTCAGCTGCCCACCATCCTTTCTTTCGGGAGCAGGGTCCCCAGGGTCTTGGTACCCAGAGTGACCCGTGTGTGTGGGCCACACTGCACCCAGCACAGCATGGGGTGTTTTCAAAATTATTCTGATTATTATTTGAGGTGCTGGGGATAGAGCCCAGGGTCTTCAAAATAAGTTACATCCCCAGCCTTATTTTTATTTTTTATTTTGAGATAGGGTCTCCCGAAGTGGCTACATTCCCCAGGCGGGGTTTGAATTTATGATCTCTTGTCTCAGCCTTGCAGAGTTAGTACTGCAGGCTTGTGCCACCTTGCTCAGCTTAGTGAGACTTTGCTTTTGAGCTTTATGCACATGAGGAGAGGATAAGATCCACCCTGGTGTCCTCTGAGAGAACAGCACCTGGCACCTGGCAGACATTCTCCGAGTATGGGCAACGAGCCCCTGAAGGAGGATGGATGGGGGCTTGGGTTTGGCCTCTGTCTGCTGCAGCGGGGGACACACCTGGCTGTATCCTGAGACACACTTGCTTCTGCTGGAACAGGAGGACCCAGCTGCCTAAGCCCCACTCCTGAGGACCACGGCAGGTCAACTCCCTGTGAC